AGAACTCGGGAGAACTGATGGGTTCTCCTCACACTATCAAACAGAGATGATGTGTCACAGTTCGGGTCGAGTCCCGCTCGGGAAACCCAACCTTCGAGTTCTGTATGGAGATGGTTAACTAGATAAAGCCTTGATTGTATGGGTGGCCCCATGGCCTCGAAAACCTGGTATAGGTCAAATCACAGTCAGGTGAAACTACAATTTCGAATGGAAACGGATTATGTGGCAGATCCCGAAGGAAATCGACAACGCGGTCGCATGTTTGCCCGTTCTGTACTTATCCCACCCGGCGACTTCTCTACTTACCAGGAAATGTTTTGAACTTCCTTCTTGAAATGAGACCTAGGTACATCTACAACGCTCTTGGACGGTGATTACAAATATGGACACTGAAACTGCTACGCAAATTCCTAAGTAAGATATGAGCCCTTAAAGTTGGCAAGAACTTTACTGAGGTGAGCTTACCTGGTGGAATCACGGTGGGTTTTTGTCTAGTTTCTTCTTCTATAAGGGTTAATGGGTGCCCTGATTACGAATTTGAGACTCGTTTTGGTTGCACAGCTCCACGGCGAGCCGTGATTTCCATCAGGTGAGCTCGCCTCAGTAACGTTTTTGCCAACTTTGAAGGCTCATAACTTTCTTAGAAGTTCACGTAGCAGTTTTAGTGTCCATATTTGTAATCAGCGTTCAAGACTCTATCGATGCATCTAGGTCTCCTTCCAAAGTTCCATGGGAAGTTCAAAGCATTTCCTGGTTAATGAGCTTGTTACTTTGCTTCGACACCTTTTAATACGGACTTTCCCCATCGATTATGTCACCAGAGAAGTCGAACTAATAATAGGCTCGTTTTTTACATTAAGAGGAACCAAACAAAAACTTTTTCATTTCCGGCAAATTTTCACCACTCTGCCAAGTGAGAGAATTAATTCCTGTTTAGTGATATCAACCATAAGTGATCATTTGTGTAATGCGTGACTGCTGACAAATCGAGCAGGTTTTAATGGATTTCGTGTCCCGTTCATTTCTAAATTTACACGAGCCAATTAATACCGGTCTGAAGAGCATGGAATGTGTTTTCAAGTTCAAGAACCCTGCTCTGAATAGAGAATAATTCAAAGGAACCCTCCAAAGCGCAATGACGCCTGCGTTCCTCTTTACAAAGACATTCAAAACAGATCTACTGCTGTTGGGAGTTGCTGGTTTCAGATCGTCTTCCGTCATTCCTGATCTTTGGTGTGTAGCGTCCAACAAAAACAAGCAACGGGTGTAATGGTGCTCAAAAAACTGAATCACAGGCTGGCCATGAAAAGGTAGCAGCTCATGAAAAAGGAGGTGTAAACCTTCGCTAGGTAGAGCTTACCAAGAAAATCAGATGAAATGTTGGCTTTCCTTTGGTGGTTAAGGTGTGTGGCAGTAGGAATTTATTTATTCATTTTCATACGTCTAAACGACATGCCAGCCCAAAAGGGGCGTAGTAAATTAACGAAACAAAGCCGGGAAAAGAAGGAGGGCAAAAGAATTGAAAGGAAAAACTGGAACAAAAACAAAAGACCGCAAAGATCAACTCAGAAATAAGCGTTGGATAAATTGGGATAGGCCAAAACAAAAACCCCCGAAACATGCTAGCAAAAGCGGGCATCTAATGAGCACACAATCGCTAGTATTACATGAAAGGCACCATGCGCAGGAGGCAGTCTATGATTAAAGGCAAACCCCGGGATTACCCCGAATAGTAGGAGGGATTCAAAGCAAGAAGGGATAGTCAAATAGAATTTAGTCCAGTGGAGTGCTACTTGCCTTCTGATCCATACCAGCCAGGAATTACAGAACACTACTGCTTATACGTTTTTATCAGTATTATCAAGGTATGAGAAGGGATGAAAACGGGTTGGAGGGCGTGAGTGACGACTGAAGACTCGAAACTCCCTGTCTGGCCCCTTCTTTCGAAACCATCATACCAGGCCACGCTCCATCGAAGACGTGGAGCCAACAAGAGCTACAGTATCTTCAATCCTCTCCAAATTTTCTCCTACTTATTTATATCCGAAAATCTATTTAGTAGGCCGAGGAGGAGCAGAAAACGGGTAAATTGTACAACAACGATGAACGTTCCGGTATGTCGCGGTCACAAATACCTTAATCCTAGAACGCTAGAACAACTGAAAAACTCCCATTGCACCCTACTTCAGAATTCTCGTGCCGTAGGTAATGCACTGTCGATCCCACCATGCACGATCCGCTCTCAGAAGGCTCAACAGGACCCCGCTTGCCCTTTACTTGAGAATTACGCAGCGGTCTGATCGACTTCAGACATCACTGATCACTGACACCCACATGATCGACGTGATTATCGTAGCGTGACCACTTCGTTGTGACTTTTTATGGCCCGGATCAGCTGTT